GGCTGGCATTTAAGGCAGGCGTGGCTCTGAATAGCTGGTCATTGTGAATGGCCTACCACTGTCCTTTCCTCCTGAGAACAACTCCTCATTGTAGGACCCTGGGCTTGATGGGGCCAGTTCCTGCCCACTAGGTTCAAAGTGTTCATAGTTATGGTGAAACATGCAGTCTTCACTCTCCCTGGGAACTCCAGCTCATTGAAAATCTTTGATGGTTGCCATGCGTGTCCCATGGAGTCTTTAGTGGCCTCTGTGGAATACAAGAGGAAATACCACAGGCTTACAGAGCCCAGGATGAAGGGCAGGCCATAGGCAAATTTATCTAGAGACCAGATACAGCCTACAGAGCCAGACGGCCTGGATTCGAATCCTGACTCCATGCTTACCAACTAAGTGTCCTTGGGCAAGTGACCTCATCTCTGTCAGTCTCAGGCTTCATGTCTGTGAACTGGGACAGTAACAACACAACCCTCCAGGGCTATTGGATTAATGAAATTAATCTACAATGAATGCTTAGAGCAGAGCCTGGCACTGAGCACCGGGCTTGGGGCTCAATACAAGTCTGCATTGGCTCTTTCTGCCTCTCCTTGCAATGCCTGTGGGGGCCATGGGATCATGTTGGGGAGCAGGGTGGAGGTGGGAGGGGGAGGGAGATGGGGATGAAGGACCACTCTCCTGATCTCCCTTCTGTGGGTCTGGATGCCTTGCTCCTGCCCCAGCCCCACCTGCCCCAGCTGGTGACTTCAGGGACTTCATTCACCTTCTCTGTGCTTCTGCAAAGAGAGGCCAGTCATAACAGTACCTCCCTCAAAGGGCTGTGTGGAGGATTAAAGAAGCAATTACAAGTAAAGCACTTAGACCACCCCTTGATCACAGGCAGCTCTCAACAAATGTTGTCTGGCATCATTGTACTTCAGCTAAGTGGTTCTCAGGTGCCATATGCAGCAGACTCCCCCAGAAGCTTATTCCCAGTTCCCCTCTCCTGGGAAAGACTCAACTGCTCAGAAGTGGCCCAGGAATCTGTATTTCTACAAGCCCCACTTGTCCAGCAAAAAGCAATACAAGGTACCAAGAAACTCCGGCATTTCCACTTTCCCTTCCTTGCTTCAGGTCAGCCCTGAACCCAGAAGAGACATTCTCATCATCCTTTGTCAAATTCAATATTCCACTCAGAAGGCACCCCGCTTCCCTCCTACCCCTCACCCCATTTTCAAGGAAGTTTGTCTTTGGGGTAATGTTCCATCTTTAGACCTCTATGATTGTTAAAAATGTATATTTCTACAAAAAATGGAATAAATGAATGCCTGTGTGTGTAATGAATTCCATTCTATAGCAGAGTGACTCTCAATGAACTAAACCAGTCTAACCCACTGAATCAGGTGCAGGGATCTTCCACCTTCCTCTTCCACCCATTCTGCTGTACCCTGGACTTTCAGGACCTCTGCCTTTGGCTAGGGACATGGAGCTGCCTTCAAGCCCAAGGAGCTACAGTGGTGGGAGGGTGGGTTGCAGGATTCAGGGGAGGAACACCTCTGCTGAGTATAGGAGGGCACTCATATACAAAACCCTGCTTGGCTCTTGGTTCAGCAACAGGAAACTCCTGACTCCTGGTCATGCTAGACACCCCCTCCCTGGAGCCAGGGATGGGAGTCTGGGCACATGGACCTTTGCCCCTGCAGTTCTGTCTGCCATCCATGCCCTATCCCATCTATACCCAGGGCAGTCTCCATCTCCTGGACTCAGCTCAAATGAGAGACATTCCCCACTCGTCACCCAAAGTGGCCTTTCTCCTATTCTCAATTTCACCCCATTTATACAATCTGTAATTATTCCACGTATTGTTTATTTTGTCAGTCTCTGATTCTCTCCCCAGACTAGAAGTTGCTAGAGAAGCAGGGTGTCTGTTATTGCCTAGAGCCAAGGAGAGTGCCTGACACATCATAGACCCTCAGAAAGTAATGGCTGACTGGATAAATAAATTTCTATCCAAGTTAAATTCCTTGAAAGCCAATTACCCAGAAGAGCGGAGGTTTTAACTGGTAACAAAGGGCATGCCTTAGGAAGATGATGGAAATCTTGCTACTATGAGCAACACTTTTTAACTCCATACATTTTTTTTTCTGAACAAAGGTTTTCATCACATTTTCAAAATGCCCCCCAACACTTGATGGGATGAGCACTGGGTGTTATGCTATATGTTGGCAAATTGAACTCCAATTAAAAAATGCCTCCCAAAAAGGTAAAGAAGTTTACTCTAAAGAAAGTTCTTTGAAATAGTAAGGGAGACAGCTAATAGATGAGGATTGGGGCTCCAGCAGCTCCACCTTCCAAAGGAAACAACATCTCACCACTCTGGAGACGGCCAAAGAGCCTGCTGGGGAGGCAGCTCCTCCTCATCCTGGCTGGGAGCTCCATGGGCCACTGAGTTTCGCTGGGTCCACATCCTGTCATGTACACCATGAGGGTAAAAGGAGATCACACATGGAGCAGGCTTGGCACAGTGAACAAAGCCCACCAAATAAATGGCAGAGCCACCATCCTCAGAGGTAGCTGCTGGGAAAAAGTAGGGAGCAATGGGGGTGGGGAGACAACATGTAAGCTAATCTTGCCCTTAAATATCCACTCAAACTCCCTCTCTTCAGAGAGGTCGGTTCTCTAATAACCCCCTCTCCACGAACCAGGTCTCCCCTCCATGGGCCCTCACATAGCACCTCCTACCTCCCCTTTACAACCAGGACTACGTGTCACCCTCACAGGCTCACAGCAAGGATGGCTAAAGACTACCGGTCTCCCCATAGGGACAAGAGTGCCACAAGGACAAGGAAATGCATGGCTCACCCCTGAGCAGTGCCTTCCTGCTCTGTTGCCATACACCAGTCTTGGAAAGTCTACACCCTCCACCTCATCATCTTTTTAGACTCAGTGGCCCTGAGAGCCCCAGCCTGTGATGGGGCAGGCTGTCACTCCAAGTTCAGACCTCCAAAGAGCCAAGGACAACAGGCTTGTTCCTCCCGACAATGCCCACTCTTCTCCAATTTTCTTGATAAAATATAGCAAAATGCCAACTGGTTACACAAGACCAGGAAGACTGGAAAAGTACATTTCAAGGTAATTGATATTCTACAAACATCCCCAAGGAGAGTGTGAACTCTGCAAGGATGTCGATTCCGGAAAGCCATCACCCTGAACTAATGCTTTCGTTATGATCTCTTACAAAACTGGCTATGAAGTGCCCAAAGATGGCCCCCAGGGCTTCGTGGGATCTGCGAAGGACCCTGAACATTCCCTACAGCCCGGGACAGAGAGCACAGGGAGTGAAGAGTGCCTTTGTGTTGGAGCTCCCAGCAGCTGAACTGTGAGGCCCAGACCCCCAAGGCCTGTGTGGATACAGGGGAGCCGATGAGAGACAGAGTGGTAGGAGGTGAAGTCAGAGAGAACACCAGGGGACCCTGGGAGGCACTGCTGGGGTTTGGCTTTTGCTCTGTGTGCAGTGGGAAGTTTTAGAGAATTTTGAGTGGAGGAGGGCCCTGGTCTGATTAATGTCTTAAGATGATCATGCAGGGAGCACCCGGGTGGCTCAGTTGGTTAAGTGTCCGACTCTTGGTTTCGGCTCAGGTCATGATCTCAGGGTTGTGAGATCAAGTCCTATGTCGGGCTCTGCTCTCAGCAGGGAGTCTGCTTAGGATTCTCTTCCTTCCCTCTCACTCTGCCCTTCCACCCACCTCAAATAAAAATAAATATTTAAAAAATAAAATGTGCAGGCTGTTGTGGGCAAAAAGATTGTAGGCAGGCAAGGGGAAAAGCCACAAAACCAGGTAGGGACACCCCATTCATAATTCAGGCCAGTGTGATGATGGCTGAGTAGGAGCTGCTCAATGTGGTCAGATTCTGAAAGTATTGACAGGATTTCCTGACAGATGGGTTGTGGACAATGAGGAAAGAGGAATCAGGGACCCCAAAGGCTGGAGTCAGAGCTACTGATGGATTACGGTGTCATTTCTTAAGACGATGGGCCTAGGGGGACTTGAACTGAATTCTCTCTGACCCCCCAACTCCAGAGCAATGAAATAAACCTAATGCTTTGGCCTTAAAACTCTCTGTCTGCCTCCTATAAATCTTATTCATAAACCATCCATCCAACCAACCATTCATTCATTCATTCATTTGTATCATTTAACAAACATTTATTGCAGCAGCCCGGATGGCTCAGCGGTTTAGCACCACCTTCAAGCCCAGGGCCTGATCCTGGAGACCCGGGATCAAGTCCCATGTCAGGCTCCCTGCATGGAGCTTGCTTCTCCCTCTGCCTGTGTCTCTGCCTCTCAACCCCCCCCCCCCGTGTGTGTGTGTGTCTCATGAATAAATAAAAATAAAATCTTAAAAAAAAAACATTTATTGCTAACTACCATGTGGTAAACATGGGAGGCACTGGACACACGAGGGTTAATTAACTCACACCCTGTCCTCCAGAAACTTTTAATTTGGTAGGTGGTTCAGAGATCAGCTTTTCTCACTCATTGATGTGTTCAGTCAGTCAACAAACATTCATTAATACTTAATTCCTGGCAAGCAAGCATCACAGTAGGCATTGCAAATGATCTTGCCCTTAAGAAAGTCTTAGTCCAATAGGAGAGCCTGAAATTAGCCGTCCTCATTCATTCACTGTAGAATCCCCAACACCCAGCCTGTGCAGCATCTGGGAGAAGACTCCCACTGGATGACCCAACAGTGGGCTCTACTGGGCGTTTCCAAGCAACACGGCCTCCCTTTGGATCCCTGGCCCTCCCCACAGGGTTCCACCTCCTGCCCTCACCATATGAGCAAAGCCCAGTGGTAGCTGCCAGAGCCCATCACGACACATCTCCACAGCATGCTCAGGACTAACTCTGGTGTCGTCTTCCCACAGAAAACTATGAGTCCACTCATTCAGACAGCCACCCCCGCAACCACCTGCCTGGGTACCATCTGACCCTTCTTGACACCCGCAGGTCCCAGAACCCAGGATGTGTCCAATCTGGAGGCTCCTGGTCCTCCTCAGCTTGCTGTCCCTGCCCTCAGCACTGCACAAGCAGCCCTGGCGTGCCCTGGCCAAGGCCCATGTGGACAGCAAACCAGCTCTGGCAAGAAGTAAGCTCAGCCCACGCTCTGCCCACTGTCACTGGGTGGGTGGGGAAGGTATCAACCTACTGGGTGACCTCGAGTCAGTCACTCTCTTTTCTTCCTTTTTCTCTGAGCCCTCAAGTACAGAAAACTGAGGATGAGTTGATCATATGCCAATTCATAACACATCATTGTTACATGCATCATGGCAAGGCCCTCTTGTGTTGAATTTGTCATTTTCCTGTTTACCTCTTATTCTCACTCCCATCTGCCCTTCCTCGGCAGGCCCTGAAGTGTGTTTAACATATGTGTTTACTTATGCTCATGTCCTTATAAAAAAGGAAGGTTTTAGTTTGCATAGATGGTATTGCCACATAGATCTTGTTGTTTTTTACTGTTTTCATTGGACGCTGTGCTGTTGACCTCTGTGGCTGGTACTGAGATGTCCAAGGGAGTCCTCCACCTGCATCGTCTCTAATTCTCCACAATTACAAACTACACTGAGATGAACATCCTTGCATGTGTGCCTGTTAGGAGCTGTGGAAAAGTTTATCTGGGATATTCCCAGAAGTGGAATGGGTGCCTGGCCCCTAGGGTGGATACAAACTCAATTCAACTAATGGCTGCCAGATTGCTCTCTAGAATGGCTGTGCTGGTCTATACTCGCTCCAGACAGGGAGCCCGATGCAGGACTTGATCCCAGGACCCTGGGATCACACCCTGAGCCGAAGGCAGACGCTCAACCACTGAGCCACCTAGTCACCCCAGAGTGTTAATTTATTTTTGACGCTGGTCCTTTGTCAGGTCTAACCAGTGCTAACATTTCTCCCAAATTGTCATCAACTTTTTTGTAGGTCCTCCAATGAACAGGAAGATTTTTCAAACTGATCAAAATTTCATCCTATGGTTTGTGTTTGACGAGTCCTAAACCCTTGTCTCGACCCCCAAATATCTTCTACTTTGTTTTTTCTAATAGCTTTGTGGTTTTATCCTTCACATGCAGGAATTTTACCTGTCTGGAGGCCACCTTTATGTCACTTATGCTTGTAAGTGACAGCTCCAACTTCACTTCTGCCTGTGTAAGGAGTCTGCTTTCTCAGTCCTTCTATGAAAGATCAAGTTCCCCAAGCATGTGGATTCCCTTTGGGACTCTGTATTCTATGTCTGTGTAACTATTTCTACACCAATAGCAGAATATTTTAAATACTACCTTCTTCTTGAATTTTAGAGTGTGCTGAGTTCTTTAAAAGAAAAAAAAATATCATCTGGAAATTTGATTTGGGTTTCATTGAATTTGTTATTTTAGAGCAAACTGACATTTTTGCAATGTGAGGTCACCCATTAGTATAATGGTGACCATTATATACCCTTTAAACTTAGTATATCTTTCAGGGTTTTTTCAGATTTTATTTTACATCCTTTAATAGAATCTTAAAGTCCTATGACCTTTGTTAAACTCCTATCTTTGTTAAATAGATTCCTAGAGAAATGTATAGTTGTTGCTACAGTAAATATTGCCCAATTTTCTATTATATTTGCTAGTTGGTATTGCTTGTTCAGATGAAAGTTGTTGGTTTTTGAAAATTAATCTGCTATCCAAAAATCTCACTGACCTCAGTTTTAATAGTCTGTTTTATTTATTCTGCTGGATTTTTAATCCAGAGGATTGTAGCAACTACAAATAATGACAGTTCTCCTTATTTATAAACCTTATACTTCTTGAGTCTTTTTCTTATCTTATAGTATAGCTAAGGCCTCCTATAGGAATGGGAACATATCTAGAATTCTCCACTAAGTTTGACATCTTCTGTAGGTTTTTGAAATCTTTTTTATCATGTTAAGGAAATCCCTATAGTCCTGGTTTTCTAAATTTTTCTTAATCATAAATCAGTATTGGCTTTTAACAAATTTTTTCTGCATCAAAAATTACTCCATTTTTTCCTCTAAGCCATTAATGTGATAGATTATATTAATAGATTTTCTTCTGCTGAACCCATCCCAGCATTTCTGGAATAAATATGAAATTTTCATAATTAACTAGAATGATACATTTATATTGCACTACTTTTATCATATACTAGAATGTACTTATAATGTATCATACTGAAATATATTTTATAATGCAATGTATTTTTATAATGCACTATTAGCTATTTAATTTGTTAGCTAATAATTTTATAGGATTTTAGCAGATTTTTCATACATGAAATTGATGTGTACCTTTCTTCCCTTTTACTGTTCTGGAAGCTGGGCAAGTTTCACTAGCCTCATAAAATTAATTTGGCATCTTTGTCTTTTTTCATTTTCTTTCACAATTATCTCTTTATAAAAAGTTTAGTAAAACTCTTCCCCAAAACCATCGAGATCAAAAACTTTTGGGGAATGACATCTTCAATTACTATTTCTATTTCTTAATGCTTTTAGATAATGTTTCCCACTTCCCCCACCACAACTTTGCATTTTGTGGTTTACCACAAACAAATCCATTCCATTTAGGTTATGAAATACATTCATGTATATTTGAGGTCCCAGGCATCCTCATGTTTACGATGGGTGCAGTTAGAATGCTATTTCATGGGGCTTCCGTGAAGATTTAAATGAGGGAAAGCATGTACCAAGTACTTTTTCAACTGTGAATATATTTATTACTATAACTACCTCTCACTATCAGTTAGGGTACTTAGCTACACAGAACAGAAAACCTACCTCAATATGGCTTCAACAATGAAAAAAAAATGTTGTTTCACATAATCAAAACTCACAAGGAGGACAATTTCAGATCTGATTCAATTAGCAACTCAAATATACCACCCCATTTTTGTCCGTTTTTTTTTTTTTAGCTCTGCTATCATCCTATTTTTATCCTCAGGTCTCTAGTTCCCAGGATTGTAAGAAAATGGTGGCTAGTGGCCATCAGACGGCCTTGCTCCCTTCCAGTAGATGACAGAGAAAGAAACTCCCTCTCAAACATAAAACATAAGATCTTTGGTTTAGTTTGATGAAGCCAACTTGGGTCACATGCCCACTTTAAACCTGAAAGAGGGACACCCAGGTGGCTCAGCAGTTAAGCATCTGCCTTTGGCTCAGAGCATGATCCCGGAGTCCCGGGATTGAGTCCCACATGGGGCTTCCTGCATGAAGCCTGCTTCTCCCTCTGCCTGTGTCTCTGCCTCTCTCTCTCTCTCTGTGAGAGAGAGAGAGAGAGTGTGTGTGTGTGTGTGTGTGTGTGTGACTCTCATGAATAAATGAATAAAATCTTTTAAAAAAATAAAATAAAATATACCTGAAAGAGTCACTGGGCAATGATGGCTCAGATTATCAAAGGCCTCATTTGGACCAGGAATTAGAAAGAGTGCTTGAATGAAAACAGGATTCAGATGGGAATGATAGGATGGATGAATGGGAGGACGGATAGATGAATAGATGGATGGATATTGGATAGATGGTAGATGGAGGTTAGAGGGATGGATAGATGGGTGGATAGATGGATGCATAGGTGAATGGATGGATAAATGGATATTGGACTGGCAACTACTAGTGTCTCTTATCATCAACCAAGAACTACTAAGACTTCTAGGCATACCTGTAGTGTCACTCTATCCTTGAAACTGGTCAATGTATGTCTCTTTTACTAGACAGAAAACTGGTTTGTGTCTTTGGTATGCACCACAAGGCCTGATATCCAATAGATGCTCAATAATATTCTTTTTTGGACAAATGGTATCTATACAAATATCTTTAGATGAATTAATCTCAATATTCCTCACAAGAATCATGTGAGATGGGTATTATTACTGCCCTTATTATACAGATGAGGAAATCAAGACTCAGGATGGTGATAGACCTAGCATTTCAACTCCAGGCACACTTTCTTGTTTGCAGGTAACAGAAACATGGGATATTGAAGGGGAGTCTGGGAGCTGGAGGGAAGGGAGTGAGGGGGAACCATGGTTTCTGCAGCTCTGCAGTGTGGATTCTGATTACAGGGAGGGTCAAGTCAGAGAAATAAACGTGTCCTGTGGTATGCTCAGAGGCTCATCAGAGCTGGGCCCAATCCTACCTGCAAGAGACACAGGATTTCAGCATGCCATCACTTTTAGAATCCCCTTCCTTTTCAGAATTCATTCTTTTCTGCTGGTAGCTCTGTTTCATCCTACAGCTTATTCCAGGGCACAGTGTGGGAGAAATTACATTTCTTCTCTTCTTATTTGTTCTCCTCAACCAACATTTATTGTGATGCACATCCTGTACATGAGGTTCTGTGTTCCAGATTTAGAGACACAGCCCTGGGTGGACTCTCAACCAGTAAATCTTGTTTGAGCAGCTCTTGTCTTTCAGACCCTCTACAGGTATGTCACCACCTCAACCCTGCAAAGTACCATTTCCCAGATGAGGAATGTGGATTTCCAAGTAGAGAGCGGAGTTGGAGGGTGACAAGCACCCATCACTCAGCAGGAAGTGGACACCAGCCCACAACCTGGGCCTCTTGACTCCAAACCCCCTACCTTTTCCATGACATTTTGGAATGTCACTGGTCCCTTGTCCATTTCCAGTTATTGCCCAGGGCCTCATGAAGTACAATGCAGAGGGCCGGATCCAGAATATCCGCCTCATGGACAGTCTGAACGCCTCAGGGCAGATGGCTCCAGGGATGGTGGGCTGGTTAATAGGCAGCATGAGCCTCCAGCATCAGCAAGAAAGCAGGTAAGCCCTGGAACCCCCCCACTGGCCCTGGGACTCTATAAAGCTGAGTCAGAAGGCAGAGCTGAGGGATCACGAGGCTAAAGAGAGAAAGCGGGAATATTGCAAGGAGGGGATAAAGGGCCCAATATGAAGGGTTGTTTGGGGAGGCAGCATAGCAGGGGAATTAAAGCAAAATTTCAGGAATAATAGCTCCTATATTTAAATCCTGGGACTGCCTCCAACCTTGGGGAGATTACTAGAGCACTCGGGCCCTGAAAGACATTTTAAAAGTACAAAACAGCAAAGAGGCTTCATCTATAACATGGGCACCCAGAGCACAGCCTAGATAAATGTCTGGGATGCCAAAGAACCCAGGACTAGGGTCAGACATTCAAACCCCACTCTAATGCTTGAGAGCTGAGTGACTCTTGGTAAGGTTTTGGAGATCTCTGAGCTTCACCTTAAGTCCTCATCAGTGAAATGGGCATAACAATTGTCCCTGCCTCTGGAAGTTGTGAGCTTTCTCTGGCGCACAGAGTGGACACATAGGCATTGGGCGCTCCGATTAACCCAGAAGAGCTGGACCCGTGCTGCTCGCCTATAGTCCCACCGCTTCCCCTGGAGGACATGGCACCTTCAGCCTCGCAGGCTCTAGCCACTCCAGTGCACTGCCCCAGCTCCAGCCTGCTGTGCCCTGGAGCTCCCTTCCCTCTCATTTTGCCCCTTACTCTCGACATTCTAATGAGCTCTGGTACTTGCCAACAGGGTTTCCCTGGATGCATGCATCCACCATCACCTCCTTCCATTCCCTTATTAGTTGTTACAAAGTATTCCTGGAGCACCCACTGTGTACCAGGACCTGGGCTGGGTACTTGGAATACAGCTATGAATAAGACATATGGTCACTTTTTGGATCTTACATCCTACTTAGTGAGATAAGCCACAAAAGTAAGTAACTCATTTCAAGTAGGGGGATATGTTATGAAGATAACTTTAGCAAGGTAAGGGGTGAGAGTGAGGGACTTATTGGGAAGACCTTTTAAAGAGAAATCCCTAGGAAGACTGAAGAGAAGGAAGCAAGCCACATAAAGGACACGGGAGGGCAGTAAGTGCAAAGGCCCTGAGGTAGCAAAGAGACTAGTGTGTCTGAGAAAAAGGCCTGTGTGACTGGATGAGCAAGGGGGAGGGTGGAAGAAGGTGCGGCTGTGGTGGCAAGTAGGGCCAGACCCTGCAGGTCTCAGGCACCATGGTATGGAGTTTGGATTTTATTCCAAGAGCAGTGAGAAACCCAGAGAGAAGGTTAAATAATAGGGCTGCCTAGTGACTGCCACATGGAGAATAGTTTATAGGGAGGCCAAGTTCATGGAAAGGGAAAGGAGCCCAGAGAGAAACTAGAGCAACTCCAGGCAAGAAGTGATGGTGACCTGGACCGGGTGAAAGGGATAACAGTGAGAAGTTGCCAAATTCCAGGTATATTTTGTAAGCAGAGCAAGCATGATTCACTGATGGGTTGCATGTGAAGGTGAGGGCTGGGGAGAAAGCAAAGAAGGCTCCCAGGGATTGAGCCTGGGCACCTGGGCACTGTGCTAGGAGGCAGTGGCTGGGTCTAACAGCCCCAGTGTGGGTCTGTAGTTGGCTGTGGGCTGCACACATTCGTTGTGTGGAGCTGTTAAGGGCCCTCTGGGACAACGTGCAGCAGCCCGGGGCTCCCGTGGGCGGCTCTTGCCCTCCAAGCATCTTTAAAAGGATCTGACTCCAAAGCCTACCGCCTGGCCCTTTACATGAATGGCATACCAGCGTTTTTTGTCATTCTGAAGCCTCGAGTCTGAGTTCCCTCACACTTGAAGGGCCTCTGCTCTTTCCTTGTGTAGCGCCAACATCACCAACATTCAGCTAGACTACAGTGGGATCCAGATGTCTTTCCATAAGGAGCGGTTCTCAGCAAACATCTTATTTGAATTTGACATTGACTTGAGACTGTGAGTCATTTGGCAGCAGGGTCGGTGGGATGTTGTTCCTCCTCGGTGGGAATCTGGGAATTGGGGGGAGGGTGGAACTGGGCATCCTGGGGAACCCAGATCTTTCTGACTTCAACCTCGTTCAAATCTTGGTTTCTGAGCTCACTTGCTACGTGACCTCGGGCATGTCACTTCCAAGTCTCTGAGCACTGGTTTCTTCAGCTGAAATGTGACTGGCAATCACTGGTGATTCGCCCATTTAAACCTATGTAAATTCATTACGCTGATTTTTTTAAAAAGAGAGAGAGAAACACTTTAATTATATCATCACCTTCCTTCCATCTGTTCAGACGGTCCTTTACCATCAGTTGCTCCCAAGAAAAGGGAGACCACAGCTAAACGGTAGAGATTTTTTAAAATAAGATGAGCCCTCCACTTCTGAATTTCCAAGGATTTGGAAGCCAATCTATTTAAAGGATTTTCAGGAGCCACTCTGCCTAACAGCATTTTCTCCTTAGTTACTGACTCCTACAACCAGTAGGCTGCTTCATTGAAAGAGTCACTCTTCCCTTTGTGTTGGCTGTTTCCTCCTCGTCCTCCTCTCTGCCTCCTGCCCCTTCTCTCCCCCTCCTCTCTCTCATCCCCAGGCCCTTCAATAACAAGATTATAAAGACACGTGTGTGCATGAACCTCGTTGTGGAGTTCTGGCTGGAGAAAGATGAGTTTGGCCGGAGGGATCTGGTGATAGGAGATTGCCATGTGGAGCCGAGCAGCATCTACATGACAGTCCTAACTGAGTAAGGCCCCAGCGACCCTCCCCAGGGCTGGGCCCCTTCCTGGCTAGTCCTAGCTGCAGCCGCACATCTCTACCACCTCCTAGATGAGCCCAAAACAGATCTCACCCTTTCCCCAGCATCTACTTCTCTCCCTGAGTCAGCATCCCAGTGATGGCCCAGCCACCCTCCCAGGATCCAGACTCTTCATCTTCCTCACACCCTGCAGCCCACCTTCACTGGTTCACGTTAATGACCTCCTGGCAGCCTCCACTAGCTTCCTCTCTCTCCATCCCCACAGCCACTACCCTGGCAACTAGACCACTTCCCAGACCATTACAAGACCCAGACTGGCTTTCCCTGACTCGGACTTTGCCTCCTTCACTCCATACAGCCCCCTGCAGGAGAAATAACTTTCTAGCACAGAAATGTGGTCATGTCCCCAACCTCTGCTCCAAACCCTCAAGTGGTTCTCCAAAACCCTCTGAATGAAGAGTAAACTCCTGGATGTCATTCAGGGCCCTATTTATCCTCTTACCTGTGCCACTCTGCAGCCATCTACCATCTTGTGTCACTGAAGGACCTACCCCTCCATCAACACGCCCAGTACTTTCATAGCCCCGTGCCTTTGCCTGGAATGCGTGCCTTTTGCCTGGAATGCCCTTCCCTTCTTCCCTAGAACTCCTCCTCATCACTTATTCATTCAACAAGTATTTATTGAGAACCTACTATGAGCCAGATATGGCATGCTTGATGCTAGGGATACAGTAGTGATCAAGACAGAAAAAAATAGAGCTGTTTGTATTGGTGTAATTACTAATAGAGTATAACAGATCCATATACTGGTTGACCAAGTCTATCAACCTCAGCAGACTATGAGTCTCTCAAGGGCAAGATCTGGATATGATTTCTCTCTGTAATTCCAGAAGGCTGAAAGCAACTAGGTCTTCAGTGGGTGTCCAGTCATTTATTCATCAGACGTTCAATGAATGCCTAAATCATACCAAGCATTCATGGCTAGGACAGTGCAGGGAAAGGACTGATCTCTGGTGCTCTGCCAACCTGATTCTAATTAGCACTTACCAGCTATGTGACCTTGGGCAAGTTACATCACCTCTCTGAGTTGCCCCTTCAACTACTGCTGACTGTGATGCCTCTTGTAGACAGCTGGCTGAGGACTAAATGACTGTGTAAGGTGTACTCAACACCTAGCCCCTGGCATGGGTACTACATGGATTTATCTGTTCTGTTCTGTACATCTACCTCTCTTTCTAGAGATATCTCACCAAAGATGAAACATTTTCTCCACAACTTCAGGGGGACCCTGGCAAAAGTTATCCCAAACCCAGTAGAAAGTCAGGTAAGTTTGTGAAAAATATTGTCCCCGTGGGGTTCTTTGAGTCTGAGGGTCAGGACATATATATTGGTTCGGAAAGGAGTTTCCAATCTTGGGCTTTAGAACCTGAAAAATCTCAATTAAAAATTTCAGTTTTGTCATTTATTGGTTGTGTGTCCTCAGCAAGTGACTCGGCTGCCCCATGCCTCAGTTTCCCCACCTGTATCATGGGAATCATCACAGTCTCTATCACATAGAATCATCATGAGGATTCAGGCAGACATGAAAGTGTTGTGCATGGCATCCAGTTGGTGTTCAATACAGGGGAGCTGCTCTTGCTGCCATGATTCCTTGTGGAAATGCAATAGAGTCAAAACTTCCAGCTGCAGGCTCTTTAGCTCTGTTTTCCTAGTCCTTGGCCTGATTCTTCTCTCTCTGCTGGTGACCCAGGTGTGTCCTCTAATCGGTGAAATCCTCAGACAGCTGGACGTGAAACTGATGAAAAGCCTCATGGGTGAGTGTCTACATCCATGTAGGAAGGACAGGATTGGCAAATGGAAGAGGTGCCCCCGGGGAGCCCACAGAGAGGCTTGCTGAGGGGTGTCTGCATGTGCTCTGAGAACACTTAGAGGTGGCCATATGACAATGACCATTACTGTTCCCCAAGAGAGCTAGGACAGCAGAGGACACCCTACCAAGCAGTCTGTATGCTGCCAAGTCACCCAAACCTCCAGATTAGATTACTACAAACTATAGCTCCTCTCAATGTCTCCACTCCCCTTTAGGGAGCACTGCCCACCCCTTGAACCTCAGACCAGACCACCCTCCATCTGCAGATAGACAGATACAGTCACCACCCTCACGGAGTTCACAATCTAGTGAATGGAAGACTATGAGAAGCATATAACTACATATCATGTGGAAAGAATTTTTTTAAGATTTTATTTATTTATTCACAAAAGACGCAGAGAGAGAGGCAGAGACATAGGCAGAGGAAGAACCAGGCTCCCTGTGGGGAATCCAATGCAGGACTCGATCCCAGGATCCTGAGACCACACCCTGAATGGAAGGCAGACACTCAACCACTGAGCCACCCAGGCATCCCCATTTGGAAAGAATTTTAATGCAAGTGCCTCAGGCACTGGCTCTGGTTGACATGGACAGATGAAGGTCCCTTCAGAGGCTGGACAGGCAGTCACCCTAGTAACTGATCCTGCCTCTCCTCCTTACAGAACAGGCTGTTGCTCATAAATTCAACCAACTATGAGTCCAGCCAACCCTCCACACGCCAGACTTGAACGTCTTCCGGCTACCTACTGATCCAGAAGGAGATTCCACATCTTGGGACCTTAAGTCTTCCTTGGAGTGGGGCTCCCACTCCAAAAACCTTGCCCACAGGCCCTGTGGAGTCCTGTCCTGTCCCATAATAAACTCTAGCTCTGAAGGGTACAAAGGTCTCCTTTCCTGGGCCCTGAGGTTAAGGTTACAGAAGTCAGGCTTGATGAAGCTCCATCCTAAGACTAAATATGCCTGGGTTTACTCATCAGCCCAGAAATACCAGAGAAAACACCTTGTTTTCCTGTAGTTTGCAACCAGGAACCCATCTATAGATTTGCTCATCAATGCAGGGAAGGCCTGTTGAGATTTCCCATGCTCTCATTCATTCACCCCAAATTGCTGAGTACCTACTATGTGCCAAGTACTTGGCCAGGCTCCAATGGAGTGTAGAGAAAGGATGACAGAGTGGAAAAGCATAAATGTTGGCACCGAACAGATCTGATTCACTTCAAATTCGATTCAGCCCAACAAGAAGTCCCACACGAGTGTGAACCATGCACATCAGAATAACTGATGACCCCCTGGCCCCAGCACAGGGTTGCACAGAGTGTGAGCTCAGCAAATATCTGCTGTTAAGTGGTGAATGAATCTGCTTTAGGACTCTCTCTGTGCTTGGGACAAGGCACTTTACCTTCAGGTCTCCCTCACCTGCAAAGCGAGGCTAGAAATCGTACAGGATATGGAGGGACAGGAGCCTTGATGCTGCTGATGGGTGGTAAGTTGCACCACTGCTTTATAAGTCCAGGTGGCAGCAGCTACAAAAGCATGACAGAGGCCTGCCCTGTGCCCCAGCCGTGCCACTCCTAGGTGGGTGCATCGTAGACACACACACGGACACTACGAGATGTGGACGAGACTGCTTGTAGCAGCAGTGGTCCTAATATTCCCTGAGTAAGAACCCTGAATGCCCATCAAAAGAGTGGGTAAATACCAAGGGAGAGTCACCCATTGGAATGCTCTATGGTCATGTAAATGACCTACTGCTACACACGACCACATGGATGGATCTCAGGCCCGTAATAAAGCCAGGCACAAAAGGGCACATGTTGCATCTCCCATTTATATGAAGCTCAAAAACAGTAAAAGGAATCCGTGCTGTCAGAGAGCAAGACCATGGTTACCCTTGAAGAGAGGGTAGGTGACAGGGAGGGGCTTGAGGCGGGCTTCTGAAGAGCCAGTACTGGCCTGTTTTGGGTTTTTTGTTTTTTTTTTTTGTTGTTGTTGTTGTTTTGTTTTGTTTTGTTTTGTTTTGGGGTTTTTTTTAAGATTTTATTTACTTATTCAGAGAGAGGCAGAGACATAGGCAGAGGGAGAATCAGGATCCCTGTGAGGAACCTGATGCAGGACTCGATCCCAAGACCCCGGGATCACACCTTGAGCTGAAGGCAGATCCTCAACCACTGAGCCACCCAGTTGCCCCCCGGCCTGTTTCTTGATCTGGACACTAGTTGTGGGGAGAGTGTTTTGTTTGTGAAAATTCATGGAGCTATTCACTTGCGTGCATTTTTCTTACATCTGTTAGACTATAACAAACATTTTGAAATAAAAATATTTACTGTGTAGGATGTTTGTAGGACTATGTGAAAAAACATCTGCAGTATGTCTAGCGTGCACTAGGTCCATGGGAAATGCTTATGGAAAGCCATTTAAATCGTTGTTAATTATTTGATTAATGACTATTCAGTTCTTAAGTATTGATTCCTGCCCTCCTCCCAAAGGGAGGCAAAGCATACTGAGAAATCAAGGGGAAATAACACACCCATTAATCACAGGAGCACACACATATTAAGCACTTGGCACGTGCCAAGCTTGGTGCTCAGAGCTTCTATTCAGCAATCTCATCAAATCCTCACAGCGAATTCATGCAGGAGGACCCCAAGGCTCAGAGAGAGAAAGCCACTTGCTCAAGAGCACACAGCGAGGAGACGATCAAGCGGAATGTGCCCAGGCAGCCAAACTCTAGAGCCCAGGCTTAGCCACTGTGAATCCTCCCTCCAGTCCTCCCTCTCTTCCTCCTAACACCCTACACACACACACACACACACACACACACACACACACACACACACACGGGAAAATGATGATAGAGGCCCTGGGCTGGATTGACAAGTGCAAACAAGGAAGTGTCAACAGCTCAGATATGAGAATAGGGCGGGAGAGCCTCCTGTCTCCCTCTGTCAGCTCTGACCACCTAATCCGAAATGCTTCGTTGGGGATTTGCAACCCTAAACGCCCATGTTCTCACAGAGGATTCCCCTTGACAGCCTTGATTTTGGGGGCGGGGTGTGGGGGGGGTTGTCCAGCTCATGATTCAAAGAGCAAACAGGAGGGCTGAGCCCCATCCTCCAGTGAGCTTGCCTGAAGGCAGCTTTTGTCTGTCTTCCTCCTGACCCGGGGGTGGCTCAGGGGCCTCTCCTTCCTCAAGGGGCCTCCTTGGGTTTCTCAGATTCTATTTTCCTTTTGTTTTGAGGTTCATAGAGCCATGGACTCATCATGTTTTCTCCCCGCAGACCTTGTTGTACAATAGGCTTCTATTATGATACAGGGGCTGGAGTGGGAGCGGGGGGGGGGGGGGATGTTAAGCAGAAATTCAGCCCTAAGGGCCCAAAAGCTTGCTCCAGGCAAGGCACCTGTCTGTGCCTTGTAACTCCCATGCCCCTCTCCTACGGAGTTCTGACTCTGTGCCAGGCACTGGGCAATAACCCCACTTAACCCACAGCCGGGGGTGGGCAGCATCAGCCCCAAGTTCTAGGGTGTAGGCTAGGGAATCAAGGCTGCAAGAGGGAAAAGCATCTTGCCCAGAGGCCTCAGCCCAGCCGGGCTTGGGATCCAGGGCAGCCTGACTTCTCAGGGGTGAGAAGGCTCCAGAGAACAGGAGCAGGAACTTTCTGAAGATTCAGTAACACAAAGTCGTTCTCAAAGTGAAGAGCACTGAAGCGGCAGCTCGGGATGACGGTCTGCTTTCCTCCCTGGGCTGACCCTGGGCAGGCCACCATCCTCGCTGAGCCTCATGTACCCTCACAGGGTTGTTCTGGACAGTAGAGGGATGGGATAGAGCTCCAGGTCTCATAAGAAACTATTATTATCATTAGTTGCAAATGTAGGTGGGAAATTCATCTCCAAGGTAAGTGGTAAGTGGAACTTGAGCAAATTGCCGAAAAAAATATATTCTTAGGTGCCTGGGTGGCTAAGTGGTTAAGCATCTGCCTTCGGCCCAGGGCATGGTCCTGGGATCCCGGGATCGAGTCCCACATTGGGCTCCCTGCATGGAGCCTGCTTCTTCCTCTGCCTCTGCCTCTCTCTCTCTCTGTGTCTCTCATGAATAAATAAATAAAATCTTACAAAAAAAAAGAAAATATATTCTCTCTCTTGCCATTTGCAATGATGTGGATGGAATTAGCGCATACTATGCTAAGCAAAATAAATTCAATCAGAGAAAGACAAATACCATATGGTTTCACTCCTATGTGGAATTTAAGAAACAAAAGAGATGAACATCAGGAAAGGGAAGGTAAAATAAAATCAGGTGAAAACAGAGTCGGAGGCAAACCATGAGAGATGCAGAACTCTAGGAAACAAACTGAGGGTTGCTGGAGGGGAGAGGGTACAGGGATGGGGTAACTGGGTGATGGGCATTAAGGAGGGCATGTGATGGAATGAGCTCTGGGTGTTGTATGCAGCTGATGAATCATTAAATTCTACCTCTGAAACTAACAGCAAAAGATCAGGAAAAAAAAGAAAATCTATTTTCTCATCGAAGTTGGGGCACCCAGCTCCCCAGCTCCCTGCTAACCCTTCTGCCTCAGCCCCTCAATAAAACCCCTGGGGTTTCCAAGACCACCTGAAAATCCCCCTCCAATGCAGTCCCCCACCCACCCACCTCCACCTAATCTTGCTCCAGGGCAACAGAACCAGCACCCTGACTGAGGAAGCAAAGGGCACCACTTATGATTTCTGAGAAACACTTTGTGAAGGCACCGACGTCACCAAGGTGGAAAACTGTCTCAAAATGTTAGCAGCGTGACCTTTCACGTCTCTGGATGCCCCCTGCCTCTTGCCCTCCTCAGGGCAGCAGGATGGGGCAGCTCCTGTGGCTCCAAGGAAGGGCATCTCTGGCAGGAGTGAAGAGAAGCCTTGTGAATTTTCAAAGCCTGGGTCTTTGCCAAAAAAGGTAATGACATTCCATCCAGACCCCTTGCACAGCAGGGAGCCTGCTTCTCCCTCTCCCTCTCTCCCCCTGTTCTGCTAGGCTCTCACTCTCTCTCTCTCTCTCTCAAATAAATAAAAAATAAAAATCTTTTTAAAAAGAAGAAGAAAGAAAACCCCAGAGGAAAATGGGGAAGTTTCTGTTACCCAGGAAAGTGGCATTTGAAATGGTAACTAAAAAAAAAAAAAGAAATGGTAACTAAGCTACAGATACAGGAGAAAGAAAGACATGGGCACTTGAATTTATGAACTGAGATTCACACCAGCTCCCCAGACTTCATCCCCCACCGCCCAGTGAGGTAGATATCATCCTCCCATTTATAGACAAGGAAACTGAAGTTGAATGGATTAGAGTCACGTGCCCGAGGTCATAGGATTAGAGTCAGGGCAGTCTGCACCCAGACCCATCCCCTCTCTGCCATAATACATATGCAGCCTCCTGGCTTCAAACCAGAGGTTGTTAGCTCCAGAAATTAGCTTCACAAACTTAAATCGGTCCCTTGACTTATCTACCTCAGTTTCCCCACAAAGATAGTAGCAATCTGACCCTACTCATAGGAGTTCTACCAAGATAACAAAACAGTGAGACCCCTTTGAGGATGACTGACAACACACAAGCCATGGGAAGAGTCTAGAAAGTATTTCAATGGATAAGTGAGTTCAGAGCCATGGCACTAGCCCCTTGGAGGCATCGGCCAGACTCTGCCAGGAAGGAGAGCAGTTCTAGTGAAAGCCTGGCATGAGGGAAGGCAGCACGGCTCATTGATTACAGGGATGTGAGACACGGGGGTGAGTTCTGACTCACCACTCACTTGCTGTGCGCCCTGGGAAGTAGTTTCCCTCTCTGAACCTCAGTCTCCCTATCTGATATTTGAGGGGCAACCATCCCAACCACCGCTGATGAAGACGAGGTTCAAACAGGGAAAGCACCCAGCACATAGTAGGTGCCCCATAAATAATATGCATTTCCTCCTCCCCTTTCTGCTTTTACTTATAAGATGTTAGGTATTGCAGGGCAAGAGCTGCTCTCACTAGTCTAAGACCTTGATCTCTCGATGTCCCAATGGTTTCATCTGCAAAACGGATTCAAAGGCCCAAGGAGTGGGGACAAATGCCTTATTACTTCATTTGGAGAAGGGAAGAAGATAAAGTAAGGGTAGAGACTGGGATGCCACAGCATCCTTCTGGCCTGGCAACCTGGAAAGATTTTTCCAGGATATCAAAGTGAGATGTCATGGGATCATGCCATGTCTGAAAGCAAAACGGGCAGTGAATGAACGGTGGGCGTCTTCGCGTCTCAGCACAGCGATTCAGAGAATGGACTGCGGCGTGAAGGCCTTGGTCCCAGGTCCGCTGTGCACATCTGGACGTGTCCACTCATGCTGCAAGTCTCAGTTTTCCCCTTGTAAAAGAGGGGTACTCGTTCCCAGCCCACACCTTGGGAGGATTCGTGGGGATGCTGTCTGTGAAAAACAGAGCCAGGCTGGCATTCAGCAAGGGCTCAGCGAGTGTTAGCTGTTGACAGTGTTTCATTGTGATCATCCAGAGCGAGCAGTTCTGACTCTGCCCCATTCTTGCTGGGTCTCAGGCCCTTGCCTCCAGGTGCCTCAGTTTTCTGCTCTCACAAAGGAGGAGGATGCCCTCCCTCCTAGAGTTCTGATGAGGATGGACAGCCCCCAGCACATGACTGTCATGCTATAGAGAGACTCGGAAAAGAGGAGACCCCAGATGTAGGAAAATCAGTTTGAAGCTTTGGACACTGGGAGCAAGAATCCTTCAAATGGAAAAAAAGAACTGGACCAGGAATGGAAAACAGCCTCACTATGAGACTGAGGCCCATTCCCTGGGCTCCCACTGGCTGCCTCTCCCCATGTTCCAAAAGTGATGCCAGGCTGACTGGGAGCATGGGCCCCCGGCCTCAGCTCTGCTCATGAACCCATGAAGTCTTGAGTAATATCCCCATCTCAAGTTTTTCTCTGTTTAACTTGTCCATCAAGTAGCTTAACTGTCCCACCTACTAATGTGATTGGCAATTATTTACTTTGGAGAGCCCTGAAAGACACCACCAAATCACAGAATTCTGAATTATCTAGAAACCCAGCATCCGATCGCATCATCTGATTGCACATTTCCTGATTTGCACGCTATAAAAGACGCTACCTCCGTGGCAGAAGCAAGCAGGAGAGGGAAGAGGAGAGCAGGAGAGCCACCAGGACCTCTGAGAAGCCCAGGTGAGACCCGCTCATCCCACACCTGCTCCGCCATCCTGGGTGGCAGGGCTGCCAGGCTCCTTGCTGTGGGGTGGGCACTGGCTGGCTGCATTTAGGATCACTCACTTGGGGTCTTTTTCAGAGGGATTTTCAGAGGAATAGGAATGGCCATTTACTCTGCTCCCCTGAGAGACCAGTGATATTGATGTAAGGTTTGAATGTGGAAATGTAGAAAAGAGGATTTGATGGTGATGGGGAGCATGTGGTTGTGTGTGAAGGTTCACTCATGAGCATGTTCTTCTTACTCTAAATCAAAATCTCTATGGCAGGAATTTTACCTTGAGGTTTCCATTGTGGACTCAGGCCATCATCTACAAACCACCTAAAATTCACCCTCATTTTGTACATTTTGATGCATTTTTCTGGGAAGAGTGTCCTCAGCTTCCATTGCATTCATAAAAGGTCTGTTTCCCAAAAGAGATTCAGAGAATGCAATCTAAACTGACCTCCCCAGGGAGGCCACAACTGGCTCTTTGGACCAGAAAGCCCTTTCGATTCCAGCCAGTCACAGCAACGATAGTGCTGCTTTGTCTGAATCAGCCAGTTGATGGAATTTTGCCCAAAGAAGCTTTCAACACCTTTGCTGACTGCCAAATAGGCCTATGAGAGGATCGGTGATATGTGGGAGGAAACAGTGCAAAAGGCAGCCAGATGTCAGGGGTTGCACCTAAATTTAGTTCAGGTTAGCTTGAGAGAGAAGAGAAAGGTATAGAACAGACAGTGTGGGGACTCCTGGGTGGCTCATTCAGTTAAGTGTCTGCCTTTGGCTCAGGTCATGATCCCAGGGTCCTGGATTGAGTCTCATATTAGGCTCTGGACTCAGCAGGGAGCCTGCTTATCCCTCTCCCTCTGCCCCTCACCCCTGCTTGTGCTCTCTCTCTCTCTCTCCCTCTTTCTCTCTGCTCTCTCTCAAATAAATAAACAAAATCTTAAAAAAAAAATCAGGGTGTACATTTGAAGAGGTCAGAGACCTATCTCCAACCACCAAGTTGCCATCAAATTGTTGGGTGACCTTGGGGAAGTCACTACCCCTTTCTGGCCCCCTGATTCTTTTTTTTTTTTTAAGATTTTATTTATTTATTTATTCATGAGAGACACAGAGAGAGAGAAAGGTAGAGACACAGGCAGAGGGAGAAGCAGGCTTCATGCAGGAAGCCCGATGTGGGGCTCAATCCCGGGACCCCAGGATCAGGCCCTGAGCCAAAGACAGATGCTCAACTGCTGAGCCACCTAGGCATCCCATGGCCCCTTGATTCTTGTTATGCAATGAGGACTTCGAATGGCTCCAGGATCTCTCCAGCATTGGTCTGGATGAGATGGTGGCTATGAACATGTGACCTCTGATATTCTGTGATTTAATAGGGCTTCCACAAATCATCGCAATCTGGGTCCAGGCCAAAAGATTTTAATGGAGATAATGGCAAAGAAGCTCAGTCCCTCAGCTTTTTCATTTGCTTTGTCTAAAGAGGGAAAACTAGGGGCAATATTCAGGCCATTGCAAGCAAGCCCAAATGGAGAGTAAATCTGATGGTCACTGAATTTAAACAGAGGCCTCTGGGTCAGACAAATCTGGCTTCAAATCCTGTCCCTATTTTGTGTTTACAATCTTGGGGGAAGTCACCTATACTCACTAGACTGTCCTTTCCTCACCTGTGCAATGCAGGTGATAAATCCCCACATCTTAGGGGTGGTTAAGATAAAATCAATTACTGAGCATGAAGTACGCAGACGAATGCCTGGCCCAGAGGAAATGCTAGGTAGTGTTAGCTATTGCTATTCACTCTCTGGTGTTCTGGAGGTCGGGGGCAGATGGTGGACGAATTCCTCTCTGATGTATGTGCTAGCTGGACCCATCGTTCTGTCCACAGATACCAAGAGTAAAGATGTTTCAAATTGGGGGCCTCATTGTCTTCTGTGGGTTGCTGGCCCAGACCACAACCCTGCTGGAAGCCCTGTCTTTGCCCCTGGAACATACCTTGTTTTTGGAGGCGACTCCAGGCCAGGATCCAAGTCCCACAGATCTTGCTGGAGACTTAACAAATGGTGAGAGTTTGTGACAACCTCTTTCAGGGGCGTGTGTGTGTGTGTGTGTGTGTGTGTGTGTGTGTCCAATGGTTCGATGCAGGGAGGGAGGCAGGAATGATTGGGGGTGAGGGGCTGAGGATCTGGAATTATCAGATTTGACCCCCAAGGATCCACCCCTGTACCCATTTTTAGGCCTCAGCAGTGGCCTGCTCTCTGGGGATCTATTGGACATTCTCGAAAACCTTCCACTTTTGAACATCCTGAAGACTAGAGGAGGCACTTCTGGTGGCCTGCTTGGGGCCTGCTTGGGAAAGTGACTTCAGTGGTCCCCCTCCTGGACAGTATCATTGAGTGAGTAGTCATAGGCCTTGGTCCTCACACACACCAGAAAATCTCTGTTGGAGATCTGGGACCCCCAGGCAGTGGCCCCAGAGGAGAGAGAGGGGTGGTCTGAACATGAGGCCAGGACTCGTGTGAGATCCTTCCCACAGCCTGGCAAGAACACTGGTCCTCTTGAATCAGTGATTGCCCCCAGTCCTGAAGCATATCTTGTGTCCTCAGCATCATCCATAGTCCTTATGACAATGCTTTAAAGTGTAATTAATCTCCAATTTAGAGATGGTAAAACTGAAGCACAGAAATGTGCCTGTGCTCACACAACTAGAGTGATACAGAGCCAGGGATCTAGGTCTAATTTACTTAAGTTCAAAGACGAGGCCTTTCCACTGCACTGTGGTAATTCTGTTCTCCTCACCTATGGAGAACACAGGTGGCCTTTGATGTAAGCAAGAAAATATAAGCTACTCTCCTTGATGACATCCTCAATGTAATGGCCACTGAACAGTCTGATGTGGGGTTTCCCATGAGACACCTGAGAGCTCTCTAAGCAAGTATAGCAATAATGGGAAGCTTGATGCCAGGGAGCTTCCAAAGCTGGGTCCTTGATAGGACTGGATCAAAGCCATCTCTAAAATTCCCACCCATCCATATGCTTGCCCCTGACTTGAAGACAGACAGACAGCCTTGAGTTTGATTTCCAAATGCACCATGTACCTGCTGGGTCCCAGAGAATAGGATGCTTGGTCTCTCTGGGCTTGGTTTCTCCATCTGTAAAATGGAGATCATGGTACCCACAGAGAAAAACTGTCGGGAGGACTGGAAACAATGTAATCACCTGCCACAGTTGTGAGGTCGGCTCATGGAAGAGCCTTGCTTCCATCCTCTATCTCCATTCTCTCCTACTTCCTGCTCCTTGATTTCCATGGTAACCATTGTTGACTGACTTGCCACTGAAGGTGATGGTTACTCCACTTGCCCATCCCCATCCATTCATCCACTTATCCATCCATCCTTTTGTCCATCCTCTCTTCCACCTAACCAGTTACTCTCCCATGGATCTGCCTACCTACTCATCCATCCACAAAGTGAACCAATATGGAGTAGCCTCCTTATTTGTAAGACTCTGAGTTGGCGTGCAGAATACAAACATAATCCAGACACAGCCTCCACCCTGAATACCTCAGAGACTTGAGATGAGGAGAGGGCCATGGTGTGTCAGGATCTGACCTAGTGCAGAGGTTGGGAAACACTAATCTCCCTGCAAGTCTCCCTGCTTAATGGGTGAGGCCAGAGGGGTGGCTTCTTCTGCTCAGGAACAATATCAATGGTATGACTCAGAACCATGTGGTTTTTGCTGCAAGATGCCACTCTTGTCTCCCCCATCTCACCTCATGGGTAGCTCCTCTTCTGGAATGAGTACAGTTGGGTTAAAGGTGGTTTCCAGGCTTGGGGCCAAAGGAACTAATATTCCTCCTTCCAATGTTGCTTATTGGACAGATTGAAGATCACTAACCCCCAGCTGCTGGAACTTGGACTTGTGCAGAGCCCTGATGGTCATCGTCTCTATGTCACCATCCCTCTAGGCATAGTCCTCAATGTGAATACGTGAGTGAGTCCCAAGGGAAGATGGGAGGGTGGCTCACCAAAGGAGACCCTGATGACCATGGGTAGCCATAAGGGAGGTGTTGGAGTCTCACAGATGCAAATGCAGCAAACTTTTTCCTCTGCAGGCCCCTGACCAGCAGTCTGGTAAAGCTGGCTGTGAAGTTAAACATCACTGCAGAAATTTTAGCTGTGAAAAATGATCAGGGGAAGATTCATCTGATTCTTGGTGACTGTACTCACTCCCCTGGGAGCCTGCAAATCTCCCTGCTTAATGGGTGAGGCCAGAGGGGTGGCTTCTCCTGCCCAGGAACAATATTGATGGGATGATGGCTAGATGGCTGGGAAGATGGAACAATGGGAGTGGGGATGAGTGGGAGGATGGGAGGGTGGGAAAATGAATAGGAGGGAGGGAAGACAGATGGATGGATGGGTGGATGGATGGATGGATGGATGGATAGGTAAATGGGTGGGTAAATAGCCACTATCTCTTCTTAGCTGGGCTGGCCAATTTTATGCTCATTAGGCAATAAAAAAGTCTGAGTTCAAGCTCATTGACCAGAGGGGCATGCAAAGGTGGAAAGATTCTTGTATGAACTTGGACAGTGCTTTCCCCACGTAGAGTCTCTTATAAGAACTTGGACAGTGCTTCCCCACGTAGAATCTCAGCTTGCTCTGATAACTGTAAGATGAGATCTACATTGGAGTTCTTGAGTGAATCCACTAAGATAATAGGTATGAAAGTGCTTTGTCCCAGTATGAGGTAAAATAGCTATGCAGCCTACCTGGGTTACTTCTTTCATTTACCTGCTAAAAGGTATGCATATGCATATTATGCATAATAATATATATATGCATATATGCATAATATGTAGGAGTCATCCCATCATGGTTAACATTTCCTAAACACATATATTGTGTTTCACATGTATCATCTCACTGAACCCTCATGACAAGTATATACTAAGCACTGTTCATCCATGTATAGGAATTCTACTGAATTCCTAGTGTCTGCTGGAACTAGGTGTTTATACTACACGTACCTATTATGTGCAAAGCTGTGTAGGGTGCCACTCCCTGTGGATAGGCGCCCTGGTGTTTGCTGCGCAAGGGTGTGAGTGGACAAGGCCCCATTTTGGCCACTTAGTACTGAGACTGATGTGGGCACAGTGGCCCCACATACCATCCCCAGGCCTCTGCACCGCCCCATGGATTTTTTTTCTTTTAGATTTGCTCCCCTCCCTGTTCAAAGTCTTGTGGACAGTCTCAGCAGCTTCTTGAATAAAGTCCTTCCTGAGCTGGTACAGAGCGAGGTAAGCGGGGGTGGGGGGCGGGGAGTGGCAGCTCCTGATCTTTGGGTCTCAGAGCTTCTCAGGCTGAAAGAAGGCCCTGGAGTAAGCTTTTCTGAACCCCTCAGTTTGGTATGTATATACCATCTATCATCTACCTGTCCACTGATTCACCTTTTCGTGTTTCTTCTTTCTATCCTGCAAATTGCACTGGTTGGATCCTGCTCTGGGCTGAGCCCTATGCATGTCCACACCACAGCTGAAAGGAACTGTCCCCTGCCCCAAGAATCTTCCAGTCCACTCCCACTGTGGCTATAGACAGGCATTCTTACAGCCTATGCTTGGGTGCCTCCTACAATCAGAAATTTACCCCTCCTGGAGCAGTTCGCCCTATTATGGCACACAGGCGTCATATCACATGGTGAACCCTGGCTCGGTGTGTGATTGGGCACTTCACGTACATGCCTCCATTTCTCCTTCTGCCCGTGTGAATGTGTAAGCATCCATCTGTGAGATGGCTTAGAACCAAACACTCTCAGACACAGAAAAATGACAGAGAATCTCCCCCAGAGAATCCATCCTGGGACTGCTACAGTTCCCAGGGCCTCCCTCCAGGTACTGCTTTGCCCAATGCCTCTCTTTGCCCCCTGGGTCAGGTATGCCCTCTGGTCAATGAGGTTCTCAGTGAGTTGGACGTCACCTTGGTACATTCCATTGCTGGTAAGTACCCCTTCCCAAGGCCTCTCTCTCCCTCTTCAGAAGTAGCGATCTCCCCCAAGGAGCTCTATCCCTGCACACCGCAGGAGAGAGCTAGATCCTTCCAGCCTCAGCTCTCCCTTTTTCAGGTTTCTTTTTTGCCTTGAATTGTCCCGATAATGTTGAGGGCTGGGCCCTGCCTCCCTCATCAGCCCTGACACTGAGAACAGCTGGGCTGTTTGGTAGAACGAGGGATTGTCCCTGTCAACCTTTGCCTGAGCTTAGTTGGATGACCAAAGTTCCTGCTCCCCAGCCCCAGGCTTCAGGGGGAGTGTAGGATATCCCTCAACTCCTTCACACTGAGATCGTCATTCTGGCCTGCATCTTCCAGAGTTACTGATCCATGGGCTGGAATTTGTCATCAAGGTCTAAGCCTTCTGGGAAAGGGACCCGGCTACAGTTGAACTGGTGAGTGCCTTTCCCCAATCCCCAGAATTTGGGTACTGCTGTAGGAGGCAGCAGGGGGCTTGGGACAAGTGCCATTCAAAGAGAGACAAACAGCCATGTAGACATTCCCAAAGATGCACAGAGAAGTCTACAGAAATGCTGATGGAGGTGGAGAGACTCAGGTAGCACCACAACACAGCCACAAAGAGAAACATGCATGGCTGTGGATGCATACACACACACACACACACACACATACACACACACACACATAAGTACATGTGGATAGAAAGAGTCCCCTGACCCCAGGTCTAGGCCTCCCTTGTGGCTGAGACAAGACCAGACCCTAGCCTTAGAGTCTCAGCCCCCTCCCCTTCCCTGGAGGGCAGGTTTGATGATGGGCCCATACCAACAAGAGTCAGTGACCTCGAGTCTCCATTTGGATGGGGGCTTCTCCCAAAAGAACAATTTCCTTGCTCAATCCACTCTTTGACCAGCTTCCAAGGGCTCACAGAAGGCTGACCCGTGTCCTGGACAGTGACACGGCCACTGCTTGTGGACCAGAGGAGCTTTCTCTCCAAGGAAACCCCACTCTCCCTCCTTCCCCACCAAGCATGTGTTACAGCCCATGTTCTTCACCAAATAAAGTTGCTCTTTCTCTGCACCGGGGACCTTGTCATGCTTCACCCTCATTTGAGGGCTAATAGATTGGGAAGAGCCCTGGCCTGGGTGGTTGGAACCATAGAACAGAGTGTGGAGCTTACATTGTAGAACTTTATGGTCTTAAGCTAGACACGGAGATGTTCAGAGGAGGGGAGGTTTCAGAGTAACTGCTCTAGTGTCCTCAGGAGGAGTGTACGAGGGGTTGGGGGTAGGTGTAACACTCTAGGCAGAGATGAGGACACACAAGTCTACCACACAAGAAGCAAAACATCAGATCTGAGAGATGTTCAGGAGTGGACCTGAGTGTAGGTGAGGGAGCAGGTGAGGTGCAGGTTGCTGTCCATTTCTCAGGTAGAGGAGTCTGAAGGTGACTGGGGATGTGGGAAGATGAAGTGATTCCAGCAGGAAGATTATGCCTTCAGCTGTGGCCATGCTGAAGGAAGTGCCTGGGAGACCCAGGGGAGATATCCAGGAACCTGATGGATACACAAATCATCCACCACTCCTCTTTTGCTTGCTGGCATCCAGTCATACTGACTTCCTTTCTGTTTTCTCAGCAAGAGGATATGAAAAATGACAAAGAGGAAGTGTAGGAGGCAGGACAAACTGGTCCACATTGTTCATTGCTCATAGACATAGAGAAGGGCCATTGGAGAAGCATATGATAAGATTATTGATGCCATGGGTGAGAGTCCTATTTTTGGAAGAAGAAGCCTGATTTTCAGAAACTGAGAAGAGGAAGGGATGAAAGGAAGGAAAGACTGAGTGCAAAGAAGATTTATGAAAAATTGGAGACAAGAATAAAGAACAGGACTACTCAGGCTGGGGAAGGTTGTCCCCTCAAATAAAAACTAAATATGCCATCATTGTTTGTGGCCCTTAAAGGACTAGCGCAACCATGTCATTACACAGATGAGGGTACTGAGGCCTTGAGATATATGTGAATGACTTGCACAAGCCACAGTTTGACAAAAAGACAAATCAAGGGCTGAAACATTCAAGACCACACAGAAAACTTCTCCCTTGTGCTCTAGGAGACCCCACTGACCTTGTGACAAGGAGCAGATTCAGGTTGGTGTTTCTCAACCCTTGTCAAACATGTGTCAACATGCCTAGACTTAGCACCATCCCCACCTACAGCTGTCACCAGCCAACACGGCATAGTGGGAAGACAGCCTAGAGTTCAGAACTGCAAAGTTTATTGTAGGAAACCAGCATGTGTGTTCTGGCAAGGGAATGGAAGGAAGAATTTTCCACAGCCACAGAACTAGAATACCTCTGGGCTCAGGATGAATAGTTACATTTCCTAAGCAGCTGAATGATCATCATGAATGTCTGTCTACCTAGTCGAGTGACCTGAAGCACCACTTTCCAGACTGGAAACTAGCAATTAGGACCTGACAGAGTTTGAGGAGAGTCCAGGCATTAGTTACTCTTAAGTCCTCTTTTGGGCAGGCATTAGGTCAATACTGAGTGTCCCCCTTGGCTGAGATTCCAAAAATCAAGCTGAGTAAGGACAGGCACACACCTGGTACCATCAACCCTGGTCCTGCTGCCCTCTGACCAAACTGCTTTCCCTTCTGGACACACATTCACTGCCTGTCTCTGAATACTAGTTTCCCACTGCTCCCCTCCAAAATTAAAATTGTCAGAACCAGCTTTTTCAGAACTCTTGAAATTAACCAAAGGCTTGCAGCAATCTGGGGTGTGTTTATTCAATAAAAATTGCTGAATCTTGGTAAGAACAATGTGCTTTGTGGTGTTTTCTTTAACCCTAGTCCCATCTCCTACTCTCCATAGAAGACTTGAAAACCCAAAGCCTATAGTCTTGGTGAAAATCAGTAGCCTGGAAGCCTCTGGACAGGAGAGTATTGGAACAACCTCAAAACCTCATCCCCAGAATACCGTCATTATTTGATCCGCCTCATTAGTTCCCTGGAAGATCCTACTCTCAAGGCTCTCTTTATTTGACTCAGAGTTCACCCAGTATAAACAGCCTCTTTACCAAGGACATTTGTCAAAATGACAGATCTAAAGACTGGGAGTTTCTAACTCTCAAGCCAGTCTACACTCAGGTTTCAGCAATTTGTCATAATTACACTTTAAATATTCCTACCCAACAGCCTCTACTTCAGGTAAGCTGATCTTGGCTGTAATTCGATGTGTTCACCTATCTCTCCAGACCAGGGGATGGCAGTTTGCCCTCTGACTTCCATTCCCTGACAGGACGAAGAGAGTGGCTGGATGTACATGTTTTCTTGTTGTGAGGATGGGAGTATTCACCTCTAAGCTCTTTACATGCTGGTGCTGAGATGGGAAGTCTGAGGTTTTTATACTTTTCACCAGTTATGTTTGATTCCCTGGAGGATGGGCCTCCCAGGATTCTCATACCACCATCCAGAAAGTGAGACTTCATTAAAAATTGTCAACCATTATTTCTTCACATTTATTTCCCGCACCATTCCTTTCTCATTCTGAGACTCTTGGGACATGAAAATAGACCTCTCGCTAGAGTCCAACTGCTCCCTGAGGCTCTGTTTATTTCTTCCAGCTATTTTTCTTCCTCTCATTCAGATTGGATCTATCTCCAATGTGTCGTTGCACTAGACATTTTTTTTATTTTTTTTATTGGAGTTCAATTTGCCAACATATAGCATAACACCCAGTTGCACTAGACATTTTTAACATCATGTTATGAGACTGGATCCTACTTAAATCCTATGGAGAATGTTTGGGGTGGGTTGGTTTGGGTTAGCATGCAAATGACCCAGTTAGATTCAGGCTAACCCAGTTAGGTTCAAATTCCAACCCACCTTCTGCAGGTGGTGTTTTTAAAAAGAGGATTTCCTTCACTGTCTTATGTGTAGGGGACCCCCTTCCTACTTCTTGGGATCAGAAAGAGAGGACTTCTCTTAGAACTTCTTGTATTCACGCCTGTATATATTTCCATGCCTCACATTGCTCTTGAGTCCAGGACAAAAGATATGGGAGGGAGAAAAACCCAGGAAACTCACCTGTGAGTCATTCATTCTTTCAGGTATGACTCCCTTCCTTGGTTCACCTGCTGCCACTTATGTTTCAGACCCCTCAGAGAGCCACTTCATTCACTGTGTCCAGGGTTTTCATTTCATTCTGAAGGAAAGACAAAGTAAAGGAAGTTTCCTTCCACCCATCTCAACTCTCCAATCCGCATAACCAGATGGGCTTTCGGCACATAACAGTGGACTACCAGTGACTTAACCAAGAACCCTCCTGGTCATAATATTTTTACCAGAACAGATGAGTGCAGCCTCTGGTGCCTGGTATGTATTATTTACCTGGCAAGTGTGTTCTTCTCAGTCCCCACCAGATAACCACTTAAGAGGCAATTTGCATTCACTTGGGATGGACCATGGCACACATTCGGTCTTTTCCCTGTTCTGTCACAAAATACAGTCTAAAGGGGTCCCCTCATGTTCATGTTCTGGCTACCACTTCTGTATAACATACCACCCCAAGATTCAGTGGCCTAAACAGCAATACTTATTTCATGATGGTCCTTGGTTTCTGAGAGTGAGAAATTCAGGAAGGGCTCAGGATGAAGTTCTGGTTCATATTCTCTGCAATTGCAGCTTTACTTGTCATCGCTTCCTTTAATCCTCCACACAGCCCTTTGAGGGAGGTACTCTTATGATTGGCCTCTCTTTGCAGAAGCACAGAGAAGGTAAATTAAGTCCCTGAAGTCACCAGCTGGGGCAGGTGGGGCTGGAGCAGGAGCAAGGCAGCCAGACCCACAGAAGGGAGATCAGAGGATTGGTCCTTCATCCCCATCTCCCTCCCCCTCCCACCCCCACCCTGCTTCCCAACATGATCCCATGGCCCCCACAGGCATTGCAAGGAGAGGCAGGAAGAGCCACAGCAGATTTGTATTGAGCCCCAAACTCGGTGCCAGGCTCTGCTCTAAGCATTTGTTGTAGGTTAATTTCATTAATCCAATAGCCCTGGAGGGTTGTGTTGTTATTGCCCCCACTTCACTGCGAAGCCTGAGACCCAGAGAGATGAGGTCACTTGCCCAAGGACATGCAGCTGGTAAACATGGAGTCAGGATTCAAACCCAGGCTGTCTGGCTCTGTAGGCTGTATCTGGTCTCTAGATAAATCCATCCACAGTCCCTGGGGTGAAGTAGTCCCCCCTCTTAAAGGGAGCATCAAAGAATTTGTAGGAAGACAATTTATTTATTTTAATAAATTAATTTTTATTGGTGTTCAATTTACCAACATACAGAATAACACCCAGTGCTCATCCCGTCAAGTGTCCCCCTCAGTGCCCGTCACCCATTCACC